GGGGAGGGAGGAATGGGAACCTTGGAAGGGTTTAGAAGATGCAAGAAAAGAAAGAAGTGCAAGTGGCACATGGAAGTGGTCCCGAAAATTCGAATCTGATTTCGAATAGGTCACATGGGGCAATATTTGTAAGCATTTGTTCATAGCAGAAGATATCTATAAGCAAATGTAGGACCTTGCCCCCAAATTAAAACCCTGTTTTCATTCGTTTCTTTTGATTTCCTAGCATACGTAGAGAAAGTGACTGGTGCGCCTAATTGTGAATTGACACGGCCAATAGGAGAAAAAAAGGATATGCTCGATCTGATTTCCAAGAATTCTAGTAGCTACGAAAGGACAATAAAGCAAGAAAAGCCAATTTGGTACAATCATATGCATGCAGTTTGCATGCACCACACTAAGAGATGGGCCGCATCTAAAATTCACTATTTGAAACTGTTATAAAAAAGGGACAAGTGTGTCTCTCGATTACGATAAGCATTTACCAAAAATGTAAACAAGCTTACTGCTTGCATAGCGTAAAATAATTGTTGAATTAGACTCAAATTCTTATCGTTCTTATTACCTTGCTCACTAAGACATATAGCATGTATACGAGTTATAGTAACATTAGGGAGTGAGTTAGTGGTTCATGAGGTGGGAATAATTCAGGAAAGATTCGGTTTAAATTTCAGCACACACAAAAAAGGGTTATATTTAATTTAGAGACAAATTAGTAATGCGAAGATTATTTCTTGTAGAATGTTTCGTTTGATATATCAAAAACTATTATATAGCTTAAAATATGTTTTACTATCTAAACAAAATAAAGTTTGTTAATTATTTTGAGGGTTGGTTTTCTCATTCAGTGCTTTAATCTATGTATTACTTGCATAAAATAATACATATATTTCTACATAAGTTATGCTGGTATTATTTATTAGGAAAACAAAAGTAACAACAAACATTGTACAAAATTAATGTTAGTTTCTATTCGGAGATTAAATCTCCATAAACTCCAACCAAATAACACTTTTTAATTAATTTATTTTCATCAACCTACACCTTGATAGAGAATTNNATACACTTCTTTCGATTATCACGTAACCCGCTATTCTTACTTAAATTATAGTACTTTAATACTAAAACTTCCTAGTTTTTTTACGTTAAAACTAAAGTTCGGTTCCGTTAGTACGGAATCTGATAATCCATTCTATTTTAGCTTAACTTTCCTTGTTGCATCATCCATGTCGAACAACAATGACAACATCCAAGGAAACTAAGAAAACCAAACAAACTAACAACTTCAGGGAGATCCGCAAGACAATAACGCACTGATTCCTTCTCCACGAGGCTCTCCACGACGGTCTCGTGAAGGCACTCCTGATGGATCTCATACAGATGGATAGGCTCAATTCGAAAATGTTGATGCTATGGATGGGGCTTTGCAAAAACTTATTGCCTCACAGGTCAATAAAGCTCTTCAGGCTTTTGGTAACCAATTACCTGCTGCACCACCCACACCCACTCCAAATAACAATACTCTGGAGAACCCTCGTTCCGGGCTTGTTAATTCAGGTAGCGGTGGAACCCCCAGCGAATCACAGGAGGGAGAACCAGATAATTTAGTTAATTCTGATTTACAAAATTTAGTACTAACATT